TTTTCTAAAAGTGTGAGTAAGACACTTGATAAATAACTTAATAGCACCTTTTAACTTAGAATTTGCTCTTAGCAAATTCTAAGAAGCCTGATAAATACGGCCCCAGAACTTCTTCAATTCATTTCTGGAAAAGTAAATTGAAATGACAGTAGGGTCTCCAGGCTTCCAGTTCTGTTTTCCATACCTTTCCAGCATATAGGCTCAGGTTTCATGGATGTTTGCTTTCTGAATGAAACTTGTTGGATTGTGGTGAGAAATTAATTGGAAAGCAGATTTTTTTTCAGCGTAAACTGGTATCTGGTCTTTTTAGGAGCAACGAGTCATCAGCACAGGCTGGTACCGGTTGCGACTGAACTCTGCCTTTTATTTTAACTCAGAGATAAAAAATGGAGGTAAGGTGTACCACTGCAGAGACCACGAGAAGAGGACAACTGATGCTCATCTGAGACCAAACTCTGTTGACTTCTTCTCCGGGGCGTCCACACTGCACAGCCGCACATAGCAGACCCTGGAGGGTAAACACAGCAGCTTATGTCTCCACATAGACACAGAAGCAGCAACATTTCTGTAGCATCTTCAGGGTAAATGAAACGACTCACCTTCAGGAGGTGTGCAGTTACCGAGCAGGCCAGCACGCTATCTGGAGAACACACCTTCCTCTGATGAGGAAGAGAAATCAAATGGTTTCAACCTGGCTGAAGTTTGCTAAAAGATTAAACTATTAACCACCAGTTTACCTGATGCTTGTTGATGTGCTCTACGAGCCTGCTGCAGTCCACAGTGGTCCTTCCACTTTCACTCTTTATTTTAAAGAACAAAACAGCTGGGAGGGACAGGAGCACTCTGAGGAACACAAAGGTTAGGGTCAAAGATCTGATCTAGAGTTTACTGCACCCTTGAACCAGGTGTAATCTATGGAAGGGAATCAGGCCACCTGTTCCATTTATGTAAGCTTCTCTGCAGACCAAGCTTGGAGGTGATGCTGGCAGAGGATGGAGAGCATCTCTGAGACACAACCTCAAACAGGAAATCCCAAAGATCAGCTCTGTGTCTGCAGCCGCCTGAAACGTTGCTCACTTCCATTTCGTATACCAGTTCCTTTAAAAACACAAAGAAATATTTTATGCCCTTATTTTACTTGCTGCAGATTAATATCTATTTATTTTCTACGCGTTTAACCCATCAAGATGCCATTCAGCAACAGCTATGGGTGACCGAATGGTCGGTTTATCAGCCCAAATATTATGAGCCCCAGCCTAATAGACACGGGGCTCTTTGTGTTCCAGCAGAACTCTCAGGCTACCTCCTACTACACCTCTGATCACGTCAGCAAGAGAAAACAACTTCATCCAACATCTGTGGTACCATCAAAGCTTTAAAGAACATTTAGCAAATGTTGGTGTTTCTTATTAAAATTATTTTTCCAGATTTTGCTTTAAAGGTTTCAATGCATTCATCAGGTGAGTTGCGAAGGACACCCTGGACAGGCCTTCAGTGTTGGTCAGGATGACACAAAGAGTCTGCAACCTGTGGCTCTCATGACACTTTACAACAGCTCTTCTTCATCTTGGCTAAAAAAGGTGAAGACTCATTTTTTATAATATAGATCTACTAACATATCAATTAGTTTTAATTTTTTTTGCAACATAGTTTTGTTTCTATGTTTAAGAGATAGACCTTTTACTAAATATAACCCGTGTTGTTATTGCTGTCAGTTTTCTTTTTTATGAAGATGTAATGTTATTGGCTCTAAACGTCCTTTATTAGCTGGACTAAAGTCAGAAATAGCTCTCTCAGTTATAAAGGTTGC